TAGATCTCTGGATCTGTAGATCGCTGGATCGGTAGATCTCTGGATCTGTAGATCGCTGGATCGGTAGATCTCTGGATCTGTAGATCGCTGGATAGGTAAATCGCTTTATTGGTAGATCTCTGGATCTGTAGATCGCTGGATCTGTAGATCGCTGGATCTGTAGATCGCTGGATCGGTAGACCTCTGGATCTGTAGATCGCTGGATCGGTAAATCGCTTTATTGGTAGAGCTCTGGATCTGTAGATCGCTGGATCGGTAGATCTTTGGATCTGTAGATCGCTGGATCGGTAGATTCCTGGATCGGTAGATTGCTGGATCTATAAATCGCTGGATCGGTAGATCGATGTATGTATAGATCGTCGGAGCGGTAGATCGCTGGATATGTGGATCGCTGGATCGGTAGATCGATGGATCTATAGATCGCTGTATCGGTAGATCGCTGGATCTGTAGATCGCTGGACCTGCAGATCGCTGGATCGGTAGATCGCTGGATCTGTAGATCGATGGATCTATAGATCGCTGGATCGGTAGATCGATGGATGCATAGATAGTTGGATCAGTAGATCGCTGGATCTGTAGATCGCTGGATTGGTAGATCGATGGATCTATAGATCGCTGGATCTGTAGAGCGATGGATCTGTAGATCGCTAGATCTGTAGATTGCTGGATCAGTAGATCTATGGATCTGTAGATCGATGGATCTATAGATCGCTGGATCGGGAGATCGATGGATCTATAGATCGCAGGATGGGTAGATCGCTGGATCTGTAGATCGCTGGATCGGTAGATCGAGGGATCCGTATATAGATGGATCGGTAGATCGCTGGATGGGTAGATCGCTCGGTCTGTAGATTGCTGGATCGATAAATCGGTGGATCTATAGATCGCTGGATCTCTAGATCGCTGGATCTGTAGGTCTCTGTATATCGCTGGATCGCTGTATCTCTGGATTGGTAGGTTGCTGGATCTAAATTTAGCGGGGCTATGCTTTGGAACCAGCTCTCGAATGAAGCAAAACTCGCCGAGTGATTCTCTACATTTTAGAAACTTATTAGATTATAGTTGGGTCTTGCTAAGCTGTGTATCTTAATAGTAGTTAACCTTTTAATAGCAATAGTAGTAGAAGTAGTAGTAGTATAAGATATTTTAGTAATAGCTTAGTTATTTAATATACGATTTTTATGTCTCAACACACCCTCCATGGAAACCAGCCGAGTGTTGTTGGGGCTACTGAGCGTGTTTCTCCTGTAATTTGAATTTTTTTTCAAAAAAGTATTACCTGCCTACCTCACCAAAGGGGCTTTTCAGGAACAATCATTGCATTATTTACTGTTAAACGATGGAAGAATGTTAGAATTTTTTAACTAGCGAGAGATGGCTAGTTAAAGGATGTATGAATCAAGAGATAAAAAAATATCATTAGAAGAAAAGAAAGAAAGAAGTGAGCAAAAGAGAAAACAAATGAACGACATATATAATGGAAAAGGAGAAAACAAATGAAAGAATTAAAAAGGAAGGGAGAGTAAGGGTCACAGAAAAGAAATGATCAAGGAAGGGAGAAGTCAAGGAAGAAAACAAGTAGTTAAATGGGGAATTAAAAATGTGAATATAAACGAAGAAAAACGCTGAGAAACTTTAAATAAATAGGTGAATTTTTGATCGATGAATGAATAATCGATCGAATGATCGATCAGAGAACGAGGAAGC